GTGGATAATATTTAGTTCTATTATCCACCATATGGATTAACAATGGACGGAATTGAACGCAGTGGTAAAGTCAACAATGCAGAGTTCCGTTGTTTCTGGGCAGCTGTGGCGGAATTCAAAGATCTCTCTCAGTCTGCACACCCATGCCCGGCATTCCATTTAGTTTCATTATTCGTCACAGGAAATCACGATGTACAGGATAGACGTACAGGTAAAGTCGACAAAGCAGACGGCCGTCGGTTGCTGGTAGCCACGGCGTGATTCCAGAATACGCCGCAGCGTGAATATCTGTTTGACGCTCAGCTCGGAATCCGGCTTGGTCGGGTCTCGTGATAGAGCCTCGTACAGACGAAAATCTTCTGAGGACAGTATCGAAGACCTTTGCAGCAACATCAGAGTGGCTTATCTTGCGACATTTTTCATATTTCGTCTTATCTCCCATTTTGAAGACAGGCATAAGGGTGCCCGAATCCCAGTCATTCGGAATTACTACAGCATGCCACGCGTGCCCAATCACCACATGCAGCTAGGGCGCCCGAGTGCAAACACAGGCCTTGCAGATTTCAGCAAAAATACCTTCCTCTCCGGACGCTTTGTTTTTGCGCTGGGATTCGCACTTCGTACAGGAAGCTAACATCCACGCGACGAAGCCTATGCGCTGTCAGACTTTGGGTACCATGTTCAAGACGTGTTCGCACATTACAGCATCCAATACCAAGGGTCCGTTCCCGGTTGAGTAGTGGAGCTCGCATACTATTCGTCCGCATCACCGGACAAGGGTTTTGGAGCGCCTCGGCTTCCGTGGACGCCGTAGCTTGGATGGATCATTTGCATGAGGGATCTTGGGGGTTTGGAATACAGCTGGGTCCCCAACAGCCGCTCGGATTGCTTGTTAGGGGTTGTCTCCTTTAGCAGTTTGGCTCTAGAACCTAAGCACAAGGCAGTGGTGGCAGTTCGCGGTGGCCGTGCCACAGTGCCGTCACTGGAACTGGTGACATTTTATGAGACAGTAAGTGCGCCAGGCCTCAGTCCTCCCCACCTGTCATTGCTGGTCCGCGACTGTTTTTCGTGTTCGGGCAGAAGTAGCCTCTGGAGGTCGTCAGTAATAGCAAAGTGCGCCTGCTGTGTGTCTTTCCAAGGAAGAATAGGCGTTCAGTGGAAGAGGTTTACATCAGGTCTGGCTTCTCAGGTACTGATTTTTAAATGGAAAGGGGATATTCCCGTACACAACTCTCGTTAGCACCGCCGCTGAAGACTGGAATGATCATTTCTGGCTCGTCAGCCAGCTATTCGCGATCCCAGATGGTTCACCACCCGAGGCTCGAACCCGCAACCTGTTGATCAGAAGTCAAACGCTCTGGCCATACAGTCTCGCATCATGTCTGTCAGTTCACATTCAGGCTTTCCACATTTGCTGTGATATGAACTTTGCCGATGATCTTGACTACATAAAAGTTACGTATATGTCCCATCCACTTAATATGCAACTTTTAGTCCAACCGTGCTCATGTACCAAGTTTTGC